ATCTGCTTTTCTTTGTAACTTGCCAGACTCAAAAGCCATAAGAGATAGAAATCATTTTGTGAAAGCTATCTTACAACCGATGCAGCAAAATCTTATCCTGCTTCTCACTTTACGGCACATAAAGAAGCTAAGTGTTAGAAAGAGCTGAAAATCCAATTCGTTTCCTTTCTCTATATAAGAACAGAATCGTTAAATACCCAAATTATAAGCAAATATAATATCATTTCAAATAGAAGGAACTATTCTCTAAAACATAGATATTTCATTTGCAACTGAAATTTAAAAAGAGTTTAGTAAAGGTGAAAAACCCCTTACTAAACCTTTTAAAGGGTTCGGGAAACTGCAAATATACGGAACCTAAAAAGGGTTTAGTAGAGGTGAAAAACCCCTTACTAAACCCTTTAAAGGGTTCGGGAAACTGCAAATATGCGGAACCTAAAAAGGGTTTAGTAGAGGTGAAAAACCCCTTACTAAACCTTAAAAAGGGTTTCGTATATTTGCAGTTTCCCGAACCCTTTTTAGGTTTTTTAAAATGCCTATTTTTTTTAGAGAGCAGTAGGCTGTAAGCACTGCGTTTTCGTTCTTCCAACCTATCTCCACTGATCGTGCCACCACCAGCCACGCCCGCGGCTATAAAGAAAGGGAGGAAGCAGACAGTGAAAAACTCACGTGGTTCAAGAACGCCTCGTATTGTTAAACCGGCAGCGAAATCGTCAAATTCCTGACGCCACCAGTCCGGCCACGTACGCGCCCAGTTACTATCAGGACCAACTATTAATAGACGCAAGTGGTCTGGAAACCGAACCTCAGAATAATTTTTAGCCTATATTGCCATCGATTAAGAGAGAGAGAGAGAGAAAGTTAAGAAGCGTCACAAGAAGATAAGATAGTGAAGAGAGTAAGATAAACAGTAGGAAACCAATGTTCAACTCGTAGGAATGGCGCGATCCTATTGTATTATGAGTCAAGTAAATGCATTTTCCTTTCTAAAATCCTTCTTCTTCCGCTTTCTCAATCGAACTGTACGCAATAAAACTTAACAGTTTTAAACTATAATTTTAAATATCCCGAAAGAAGAAATACATAACCCTAACGCAACAATTGTGCTCCAGTTTTACTAATGACTGTAATTCCCACATGTGATAACAACATCACACTACCACTATTGCTGTATTCCCTCAATTTCAAAATATATGCTGATGTGTAATCTTCAATGTGTTGCGTTACCGAGTAGTTTTCTTTCGAATAGTTCGGAGATTAGATCTAGTTCTGTTTTGATTCGAGGACGAATCTCTTTATCATAGGCGTGGAGGTTACTGTATGACAAGAGACTACCTCCTCTGGTAACCTGTTCCACTCTACTGCAGTCGTAACAAAAAAATGAAGACGCAACTCGGACCTTAGTCGCAGTAATAGTTCTTACTCATTGCGAATTTTGTCTATCCGAATTTAAACGATCTGATCTACGATTTACTAGAGGTTCAATGAATTTAGGTTGAAAACTAGAAGGTGGTGATAAATCAGTTTTAATTTTATAGAAATGCAAAAGCCGAAAGTATCTCCTTCTCAAAGATAAATCGGGAAGGTTTAATTTTTCGATTAGGTGCGTAACTGAACCGTCAAACTTTTTACATATTAGTCGCGCTGCTAACTTTGTAACCTTATCAAGACTTGAACTGAACCAGTCACTATCACATATTACAGAACAGTAATCTAATTTATCAAGAATGCATGCGTCATAAATTTTAATCTAGCACCCCTCGGAGCATCTTCAGATGTACGATACTGCACACCTAAACCACGTCTGCATGCAAGGACTACGTCGTGTTTGTGAGAGTTCTAGTGATCAGGTTTGGCCTATAGAAAGATCCTCGGAGAATGTCTCTAGCGTCCGAACCATGGTAGATGAAGGTGTGTGACGTGTGCCAGATTGCAGAGCGACATCTGCTCTATACTGATATGTATTCAGAGCAATGTAGCACTGTGCGGATTTTTGGAATAACACGCTCGGACTTTTTGCTTTGAAGGGTACACCATGGTATAGCTGTCGGATAAAACTCATTTAGCATAGGATTACGCGGTGGTCTCTTTCATAATCCCAAAACCGCAGTTCTGTAGCTCATTCGGTTGTTCAGTTATTCAAAAAACATCTGACTATTATATTTTATATATTTCTTCTGAGTATTATATTTTGAAATGGATAGTATTAATTCTTCTTCTGTCAAAATAGCATTGTGAAGATCTTCTCTATTCAGATTTTCGCTGCAAGTTCAAGATCGGCACAAATTGTTTTTAACGTTTTACAAGCTCGATACCCTCTATTGATTGACGTATGAACGAACGAAATCGGAGTCAGACACGTCCACAGGTTTCGTCGTGAGGATTTTACCAAGATTGCAAAACAGAAAACAAAGAAAATATTTCTTATTGAAATTACGAAAAATGATATTGACACATCGAATCCGAAATTGGAAAATCTATTTAAAGCCACAAAACTAGTACCGGAAACTCTAAAAACTCATTCCATTAAAGTTGTTGATAAAAATAATCTTGAATATCGTTATTATTCAACAACTTTAAAAAAGAAAACCGTAAAATACGGATAGTAGATTCTTACAGTTGTTAGTTAGGCGGACAAAAGTAGATTTCGAGAACAGTAGGACCATGACGTTATTTCGAGTGAGCAGCATCCATAACTGAACGAACGATTAGTAACAGAGAAAGAGAAAGACTGTGATAAACTCATCGTCTGTCTATATACATAGGAAAATAACAACAGTAAAAAGAAAGAGAAAAATACTGCTAAAGGTTCTTTTTTGAATTTGTGATTTTCTGCCTCTATCGGAAAGTCTACATCAACATATACCGGTAAAAGCTCTTTTGTCACTTTCTCATTTTCTACCGCCATACGAACGTGAGTAAGTAGATAAACATATACCGGTAAAGGCTCTTTTCCGACTTTCTCATTTTCGGCCTCTACCGGAAAGCATCCATACATATATCGGTATATACCGGTAAAGGCTCCTTTCTGACTTGCTGAGTTTCTAAATTGTAGATGAACATCGTCACGAGAAGAACAAATCTCTTATCTATGTTTTCTACTCACGAGGGACCTGCCCCAAGTGTCCGCTCGTTTTTTTGTTGAAATCTAGTGGAGAATAGGTTATCGACTATGCTGATTCCGAGACCTGGTTGAACCAGGTCTCCGAAGGCCTAGCAGCAAAAACCATTGTCATATTCGGAATCAGCATAGTCGATAACCTATTCTCCACTAGATTTCAACAAAAAAGCGAGCGAACACTTGGGGCAGTTCCCTCGTGAGACTTAAATACTTAGGTGTTTACCTGACATCAAACTTTTCTTGGGATACACATATAAAACATGTAATTTCCAAGTTGTCTTGCATTATAGGTTTGATGGCATCGTATAAATATGTCTTTAGCACAACCCCTCTTCACCAAATATACAAGTCATTTGTTTTACCTGTTTTAATCTGTGCGTCACCGTTCTCTCATCTGCGTCTGCATATCAAATCCAATTATTGTATCGCTTACAGTGTAAAGTAGCACATGTTGTCTTGGGGGTTATACAGGGCTGTGATCGAGCTAAAATGCTTACTGCCCTTGGGTGAAGAAATATTATTGATATTCTTGAATATCATAAAATAGTATTATTGCAGAAGACTATATGTGGTCATGCGCCAATATTTCTGTTAATAAAATCCATTTTCTAATAATCCTCAATATGATTTGTGTTCTAATAATGTTAAAATTTAAGAAACTCATCTATACGTTCAGCAAATTTTATGAAAACTTTTTTCCGTAACCCGTACGGATTTGGAACAGTCTACCTCATGAGCCAACCAAACATCAACATCTTAGATGTTTTAAAAGAAAGTTTTCAAAATGGAAATTCTAGTCTTTTGTTTCAATATTTCGAATACGTAATACACCAAGAGCAGCTGACATTGTCTTCGCACAAATACGAACCAGACTTATTACGCTAAATTATGACTTGTACCTAAAGATATTAGCCGCGCCGCTGATCGGAAACTTTTTCAAAACTTTTCTGAAAAAAAAAATTTATTGAAAATTATAACTTTTTTAAAAATTTTCACGCCGCCACCGCCGCCATAGGCGGAAACCTTTTTTTGAATTTTTCGCCGCTGCCGCCGACAAAGTTTTCAATTTGACACGCCGTCGCCGATAAGTAATCGGCTAACATCTCTACTTGTACCATTGCCATTTACTGGACTATTTAAGTGACGATGATACAAAAAAGACAGATAAATGTACATGTGGTGCAAAGGAAACTGTACATCACTACTTATTACTTTGTCCTATCTATGATACCGCTCGTCTAACGCTATTTGAAGTTATTTCTACAGTAAATTTACCTGTTCCTATTACGTTCGATCTACAATGAGATACTATGTAGAGTATTTATTTTTGCAGTTTACTGCAAAGCTAAGTTCACATGTTCGAATCTCTATTCGTACAAAAATTAATTTTGTGTTTTTCGATAGTTTTAGCTTAGAATACTATGATGGAATATTTCTCCGCTTATATTCTGACAGAATAAAGCTTATACCAACATTTTGAATTGGTATGTCGATGCGTCTTAAACTATATCATCGAATCTAAAGGTTTCAACATAAAATCATAAGGTCATTTCTGAAACATCTACCACCAACATATTAATATTTATAGCTTTTCGTTTGCTTCTTTATTTTTTGCTCACTTTGATGGATTTTCTTTTTTAACTGTATGAATACCTTATCTACATCTATATAATGGTCTGTCCGATTTAGTGCAGATATGGGGAAAATAAACTTTGCTTAATAAATAGTTTATACCAACAAGGCTTTTCAAGAAATTGATTCCAACTATCGCAGCTTCCGGATCTAAATTGTTATAAAGGAAAGCGGATAGCTTTCATATGATTTTAAGTCTTCTCCATTTTAATTCTTTTTAGTAATAATATTTATTTGCAAATAATATTAAATGACTATTACGAGGAGCAAAAGAACAATACTAAAGAGCACATCTGTCAGTTTTTTGCACACAGCACATACTTTTTCTCGGATTCCCATTGTCGTGGAGTATATCCAGACGGGCACTCCCATAGGCCTGGATTATATCCATCGCATGCAGGACCATCGATGGTATTGATTAGTTGTATCCCACACAATGTTCCCGGTAAATCAACAGCTTCATTACTATCCTTGGTGCATATACGTTGTCTTTGCCACTGGTCAAGATTTAACTCCTGAACAATGTAATTCATCACGAGTAACAATATTGTAAAACTATTTCACGCATATATACAGTCGATGATATATTTTGAATTAATTTATTTTTGCATACGCCTTCCATAATATTTCTTATATGTAACTCAACAATATCTGCTGCTCAGTAAAAAACAGCAATAATAGTTTTCATTTCATTTCTATATCATACTGATCAAATGGAAACGTTGTTATTACTATTCGATACGTACTGCATTTGATTCGAGCCCTTGTTCTCTTAAAAATTGTCATTGATGATCTTCGAGATAAGTTTTGATTATAATAATAAAGGTTTGATTGAATAATGCTGCAAGTTGTTGGATAAACTTGACTCTGACGCACAAGAATATGGTATAAAAGTCTGTCACGTAATGTGCTAAATTTGATGAAGATACCTGAATGTGAACCATATGATGTTTAGTATTTTTGTTATAAATTCTTAGTTTTAATAGCGTCCAGAATTCTTTACATATCATTCAATAGAGCTCTCAGAATTCTACAATTAAATATCAAAATACTATTTTGGAGTTGGAATACCATGTCAAAAAGCCTAATCTAAAAACATTTTCTAAGATTTGAGTGTTACGCCTAGTGTTCAACATCAATGGCGCTTCCAGGAATTTTGGACTTCCGGGCCATCTCCTAGAGAGCTATAAAATTTCGTTGAGCCTAGGTGGATCGAAACGTTTTTGATTTCAATGATCCATTTATCTTTATTTTATAAAAGTAAATGATTCATTTATAAAATAAAGGTAGAAATAAATAAATAAAGATAAATGGATCATTTACTTTTATAAAATCAAGATAAATTTTTTTTTCATTTATTTACATTTATTTTTTAACTATAAATGATTCATTTACATTTATTTTCCAAAATAACACTAAATTAACACCCCTATTTCGCATTTGAACAAAAAAACGATGTACCAGTCATATGTTCTTTGAAAACTATAGCACTATGCACTTTGCAATATCTCAGTATGCTAACATGGACAAAGAATCACATGAAACAAATAGTTTAGCTCCCTGCTTAATCCAAGAGAGAAGATTTATTAACACATCTGACTGTTGGGTCTGTTTTATAAATGATAAGGTATACTATTTGAAATCATTTTGTAATAGAGAAAACAATAAAACTATTAACAGCGCCAAAATATAAGGCACTTGGTTGTTTTTCAAATAACTCCAAAATAATAAAAGACAAACACTTGCAGTTTTCGATAATTGAAAGAGGACACTTTGGTAAATACTTTGACAAGCAAAATTGCGATCCAAAAATATTGCTAGGACCAGTTTCCTATGGGATCTTTGGAAAACCAACTCGGATTTCAGGAAAGTAACATAGTAATCTATTGATTTTTTATACGCAGTGTTCTCTGCGAAATAAAATCTAAGCAAAAGTTTCATTTTGCGTGATTTTTTTTTTTACAGCTAACTGATGTTAAAAAGTTTACAACTCACGCAAAATACATCAGAGCGAGTTGAAAACTTCAGAATATGCTTAATTTGGTCAACTAGATGTCATTATGAGGACGACAAATTTGAAAAACTAATATTTGTACAATGGTGTTCTAGAAGCCTTTCCAGAAAGACACAAAGTTCTCTATCGGAATGATATCCTCAACAAGGATCGGCTGATAACATTTTCGACTATAGAATTTGATCGAAATGGCTTTCATTTGGCTGTGAAAGATCAAAAAGAGAGCCAAAAGAAACTAATATCACTGTGAGTCTACTGGAAAAAATCGCACACCTTATTAATCATCGTTTTGCACTATATTTTAGCAAATATTTGAAGTTACTGTAAGTATCAGTCGTTTATTAATTTAAATTTACAAGAGTTCGACTTATGTGCAATAAGCCTAAAATGTGGTTGAGTTTTGTATAAAAGATCAGTTTGTTTTCACGTGGTCATTCTTTGGTGATCTGATTAGTACTACTATCCGCTTGAGTATTTTCTGAAGACGTATTCACTTCTATTACTATTGGACCAGTGGGAATATCACTGACTTTTGCAGTGTTTAGTCGTGAAATTTTTGTCACCGTTACACTTTTGCTCTTTCCTTGGGAACTTTTAGCTGATTTTATTTGTGGTTCTGCGGGTGATGTGCTGTTGTTAATCGTGGCACTTTTTCTTGTGTTTTCATGTATATTTGGTTGTTTTGTATCTAACTCTATATCCGACACAATCATAGGATGAGTTTTTGATTTTGAGGTAGTTTGAACACGTTTTACTTTGACAACGCTGACAGCTGAGTCAGAACGAATTTTACGGTTTTGAAGATCACTAGCACGACGTTCTTCTTTTTTACTAAAATTATTTTCACTAATAATTTGTAATGATTTGGGTCTTGTACGCGTACTGGGTGATGGAGATACCGGACGCTTTATTTTCGATGTTCGTTCTCTTAATACTTTGCTAACAGTAATACCATCACCGGCCGGTTGTTTTTCAGCTGTTTCAGAACAACTAGGATTCGTTGATTGTTGAAGAGTTTCGAGTTTTATTGTTTCAATTACATTTGGTGGATGATCATTACTGGAGGATGATGAACTTTTCACGCGTTTCAATTTATAAACATTGACTGTACTGTTTGGACCATTACGTGTTGAAGGTATAGATTCTGAAAGATGTACACTTACTCTAGATTGTGAAACGATACTATGTGGTCGTGTTTCAGCACTATTGTCAGCTGTGGCATCAATATAACGACTGCATGATCGTGTTGAAATTTCTCTTGGTAATTTACTGACCGTAACAGGGCGAATTATGATAGGTTCTACTTCTGGTATGGTATCATGTACTGGAGTAATCGGCGGTATCATTGAAGAATTACCGAACAGTTCAGCACTGTTTTTTAGTTGTTTTTTTTTCATTCTTGCTACACTTACTCCAGATTTCTGCGCTCCGTAACCAAAACTTGTTAATGATTCATTTAAAAAACTACTAACATTCAGATCGATTGACAAATATCCACTGCTGGTACTTTTTGTACTTTGCCGACGACCTTTATAAGCAGTATAACTCTCGTCCGGCTTTGTAGATACCGACAGAGATTGTTTTAATCTGTTAAATTCCGGTAATAAGCATTCGCTCGATGTGTTGACTCCTTCAATACTTGTTATTGTTGTTTCTAGATTTTCATCTACTGAACCAATATAGTAGAATTCGAAATCTTTACCCTTTTTCTTTCTTTTTTCCGTTGCTCCGCTATAAAGAAATTGGAGAATTAAAACGCAGAAAGTGATTATTTTTGAATAATGAAATCGTGATGGACTTACAGACAACAAAAACGGCAACAACAATAACAACAGAGTGATAATAGAAGTGCCGCTACTACTGCAGATGCAATGATTAAAGGTAAGTAAGGCTGGATAGTATCTGAAAGCAAAAGGTAAATGAATAGACAGGCGGAATCCTAACGTATTAATGTCTTATGACTTCTTTGATAGTCCTCAGAGTGCCACATTGATTTTACTTTTTTCGAGTCTATGACGTCTATTATGATTATTATTATTAGCGTAATAGAATACAAGATTAGTGTACAGTAACTTACACCGTGCTGGCGTTGTTGTTGATGAAGTGCTAGAAAAGACGATCAGAAGATTTTAAGGTATCGAAAGAAAACCGTACAGTACAAAATAATCTTACCTTGTAGCAGAGGTTGAAGTCGTACTCGTCCTAGTAGTCGCAGTTCTAAAGTTAAACACTAATTCAGTTCATATCACGTGAAACATGTTAGTTGATAAAAAAATGTTGATGCATATTATGCTCGATGCATACTTTTCTTTTTCTTTAGAGATTGACAACCGTATGGTACATAGGACTAATTGTATTTTGAAGAAGGCAGAATCAGATTCTATACGCACGAGAACATTTAACTTTCTGTTATTTTACATCTGAAGTACATTTATCAGAAAAACACGCACGTGCTTGTGGTACTTGTCGATGTTGTGGACCTAAACAAAACAACTGAGATAAAATATCATCGCAAGTTTAGTATGTCAGTACGTACGTAGAAGTCGTGCTCGTCGAACTTGTAGTACTCGTAGTCGATGTTCTGTGAAGTAGAAATATTGACATATTGACAACTAATATTCTTTAATATTGATGAATCACGCAGAATCATAAGACTCACGTTGAAGTAGATGTTGTGCTGGTGGTGCTGGTTGTTGATGTGGTACTCGTGCTCGTACTTGTTGATGCTGTGCTTGTTGAAGATGATGTGGTACTTGTGCTCGTACTTGTTGATGATGTGCTTTCTGTAGATGATCTAAAAAGGATTAATTTTTCCATTGCTTAAACGATCGCAAAAGAACTCAAAAATACATTTGTGTTTGGCAAGAACTTACGTGCTTGTACTAGTGGTTGATGTCGCAGACCTATAAGATAGAGAGCTGTGAATGATTGTATAACAGTTTTCATAAAGAAGAAGGTATTGAGGGCTATGTATCTGAAAGTACTTACTAAAAAAAATATCTAGCTGAGAACATTTGATCTCAATTATCTCAAGTACTTGTTTTTTTACCGATGAGTGCTTGATTAATAAATCATAAATGTGTCTGGGACTCACGTGCTAGTAGTTGAAGTCGAAGAGGTTGAACTGAAAAAAGAAAACACGATACAGATGATTCTAGTCATATCACTGTCTCACACATAGAAGGCATGTGTAATACCTATAACTAGACATCACGTGTGCAAACACATATTTGTGTTATCAGGGTAGATAGTTCTAAGTGTCCTTTTCAACAGATGAATTATTCGATCTCTTCATTTTTCACAACTGGTTTTACACTTTATTTATGAAATAAAACTTTATTAATTACAGCGTGTCTTCTAGCTCAGGTTAATATTAAAAGTCGTTTATAAGTTAAACATCCGCATCCAAAACTTCCATTGACCAGACAGTAATACATGTTTAGTATAAGCTTAATAAAATATACTGTTTGAAAGTAATTTCGTTACGGAAGGATCATACTCTTCAGAAATGTCCTTGCTTTTTGAAGGGAAAATCAACAGCGCGGTCTTCGATTAAAGTCTTGATTTGTACGGCAATGAAGCAGGTGCTATAGTGGCATTTCCAAACAGAAAGAAGGATTTTTCCTAAAACTGAAACTTACGTGGAACTTGTCGAAGTTGTTTCAGAAGTTGTTGTTGCGGTGGTGGCCGTTGTTGTTGTGGCCGAGCTTAGAAAAAATACTTTCTTAAACTTACTCATATCAGAATTAAACTCAAAACACATTTAGAAACGAACAGTTCCAGGAAAGAAGTTTAGCTGTTCAGTTTCATAGTCAATTTTAACCATCGAGCAAAAGTGAGGAACTTATTTAGATTCGAGGGTTTATGGGCTATCTAAGGTGTTTAATGTTATTTCTTCTTTTTATATGCGGCATGGTTATCGACAGAATAACTTCGAGAGCTCTATGTGGTACTCCAAAGAGTTTCTACAGTTTGACAAAATAATTCAGTGGTGGACATTTAAAAGAGATGTGGTTATGAATAATCCTGGTTGACTGGATATTCATTTTAATTGTCACCATACGCAATTTTGTTGTTTAACTTTGGGTGAAAATAAAGTATCATTATAGCCCGCTTTTATCCGAGAAAGAAATGGTCATACATCAAACAGTCATCTGTTAAAGAAAAAGTAGTGTAAACGGAAGAATAAATGTAAATCCTTTCGAGCTAGTTATCGCACTACAGATTTGATTTCTGTTATTGTATTAGGATGCGGACATTTGTTTTTTTTATATGACAGTCCCCTTACCTCGTTGATGTAGTGGATGTGCTTGTCGTTGTTGAAGTAGTTGTTGTTGGACAAGTAATACCCGTCCCTGGACACCCGCATTCATGATCTGCAGTAACGTAAAGAGTAAAACAATACTGATCCGATTGATCTCCAATACTATAACAAGAAAATATACAGGAATCACTTAGCCCTTACTTTTCTGAGAATATAAAATTTCATATTTACGTGTCAACAGCCATCGCACACAAGATTTGCGGCCCAATCTGACTAGAATCTGGTATCCATGTCACATTTCTGTAGTATATTGTTGAATTAAATTGCGTAAGATTGCCCTTGCCCATGCCAGGTATGGATAATGTCGATATTTCTGCAATGCTTGCTACAGATGGGCAGTTATCGATCGCAATTATGACTGTGTTATAAGGCACTCCAGCTTGAACAGGTGTGCACGAAGATTCAACAGGAAAACCAATAACTTGTGGATTTACTGGACAAGTCGAAGGGTCAACAACATGAACAAGAAATTGTACGGGAACTGTACTCATTGCAGCTGTGCTCGTTGTGCTGATAAAATCCTCTACCTACAATTAATATTTTCAGTTATATGTCTGACCTACAGCAAACGTTTTTTTACTTTTGTTAGGAACTTATTTTATGGTGCTTGCTTTCTGTGCGACGTACAGAGATCGCTGTTGATTTAGAAAAATAAGACGACTTACGAATGTGGACACCGTCATTGTTCAGCTTTTCTTATTGATTCTATGAACTTGCTAGTTAGTTAGACCCGCTACCATTTCTGGTGTAGGGTGAGAATAAAACATCAGGCACTGTTGTTTTTCTTCTTTTCAATAGCAATATAAGTTTAAAGTCCTACCGAGAGGTTGCTAGCCTCGAGGTAAGACGGTTGGCTACCGGCAGCCCAGGGTCGCCTCCTCACTATCCAGAAACAGTGAGCCCCTGTGTGAATTCGAAAATCCACCCGGCAGGCTTCTATGAACTTGAGGTTGTCGGGAGAAAGAAAAAACTATTTTTAGCTGTTTTATAGAGCTAGGCATTGCTTAAAGTGACGAAGTAAAGGATGATGAATGAGTTAGCATGATGACAACACGCTTGTACCTCCCGTTTTCCATTTCAACTTTCGGCGCGAGAAGATTTTTAAAACAAAAAGAACGGTTTTTTAGTATTTTTCGTATATCTCGAGAATGAAATCATACTTTTTCGAAAAGAAAAAAACGAGATAGGGTCTACAGTATCTGCGGTAAAAATTTGAGTTCGATCACACCATTTTTTCAAGGGTTCGTAATGTGACTGGATGAAAACTAGAGAAAACCCATATCAGAACATGTCAGAAAATTCTGCGCAAAAATCTTCGATTTTCTTTTTCGATGTTCTATTTTTGGTATAAATTTCACCCCGGTCAAACATTGGCTTCCCTGGTTTTCAAGAGGGTTAAAAAGAGGGAGTACGCTTAACTGTCGATCAAACAACCCTTGTGAACAACTTAGTCGGTTAGAAAGAAAAATTTCATTACCACCACTGGTATAGCATAATAAGCGTCAGCTAGCGTTCCAGTAATCACCAATGTGCAGTTTGAATATAATACAGTGTTTGCAGGTATTAGTGACGCAGATGGACATGCATCACCACATTCAGTGCTGCCACTTGCCCATCTGCAACGTAAATCATCATCGTTTGCGTCTGATACTGGTATATTAATAATTTGTTGAATGTTTTTTGGAATATTGAGCGGTGACATCATAGTCGCAAGAGGTGCCGAATAAGATGGTTCAAAGTTCTGGTGATCATTTTGATGGTGAGGAGGCCTTAACATTTGTGAGTCATTAAGTTTCTCGATGACAAGGAAAGAGAATGGGAAAAAGTACTACTTGTTCCATGGCAACGTGTGACGCCGTCGAACTACTGTTGCAACAGTTTAACTGGAAGGTTGAATATATCCTTGACCACATGAGTCTTAGTTACACATACATTACACGTTAATGCGTAGCAGCATACATGAATGGACCTTCTGAGTGAAGTGTTTGATTAACTATACCTCAGACAACTGTTAGCTGAAAATTCAGTGGGAAGAACGTTTTTTGAGAGTTCGAATGTTTACAAATTCAGTAAAGGAAAGTAGAGACCTGTTTCTATGCGACGAGTTTGAAACCATTTGCAACAAACTCTGCACGAGAGCAGTCAAAATTCGAATTTTCTGCTCATCGTGATATAAGTATAGAACTTATTATAATAGCCATCTGGTCGTAAATACAAATCAATGTTCGATGCTATAGACCATTGTGCAGAAGCTGTAGTTGAACCCGCTAATGGTAGCCAAGCATAAGGAGAAGCTGACTGATAGGCCACTGTGAAATTATCATTCACATATAATAATTTTGTATCAGTACGTTGACTAATAGTTGTACCCATTATAGGGTTTGTATCAGTACATTGTGGTATGATATGCGTAGATGTATATCCACGTGCATTTCCGGATGATCCAGTGTTGCATGGAGAGATACAAGTTAATGTATCTGTTGGTATAGTTGAATACGTGCCGTAATTGATATTCGAATGATTTGTGATCATAGCGTTTGTACAGTTGACTTTTCCAAATGTCCAGGAATAAGTTTGTGTAATGGTTATATTAATCGGATTGCTTGTATCATTGAAGTCGGTTGGATGCCATGTTATTGTACCGCCGTTGAAATGAGAGCCGGATATAAAGGTAAAATGAACAAAAGCTGCCGTTATGATGGCAATCATTCCACAGATTCAACTTTGTAAACACGTACTGACTATGTAAGTACACATACAGCCATCTAGAACTTCGAAACTGATAAAGATCGTATTGAACTTGAGAGATACAAACATTTTTATTCATTGAGCCCGAAGAAAGACATCTGTCACTTCAAACCAGAATACTGACAGCTAATGTGAAACAACCTTGAGCACTTATATAGCATTAAAGTTAATTCTTCCTTTTTCATACTTTTTCTGATTCAATCTTTGAACTATAGTTCGACGATGTAAAAGTCGTAAAAATCTTTTCATACTGATCTGAGAAGTATATCGATTTGCAGACAAAACTTTATTTCTCAAATTCAGCGCGAGCTTATCGGTTCTAGAGAAGAGAGTTTTAAGAAACGTTAATTCAAAACCCATACAAAACTTGTCATCATTGACTTCATAATATACTCGTTTGACGCAATGATTTGAGTTTTAACACAAATAAATCCAATAAATTTAGAAAATAGACTGTCATAGAGGACTTTGAGTACTCATTGTAAAACAGAAATATTTACTCAAGTGAAACACAGATTGATCATGTTTTCACATGCAACAGAAACAAAAACATAATTGCAAATACCGTTAAATAGTTTCATATTTTCAATTTATTCAATATATCTATTTACACATAATTAAAAATCAATTCAATGTAAATAACACTATCGAAATTCGTTTTTATCGGATTTTAATTATATGTAAATTCAAGTTTTATTTGTCATTCATATGAAAAGAAAGACCAAGACCACGTGCATTTCCGGATGATTCAGTGTTGCATGGAGAGATACAAGTTAATGTATCTGTTGGTATAGTTGAATAAGTGCCGTAATTGATATTCGAATGATTTGTGATCATAGCGTTTGTACAGTTGACTTTTCCAAATGTCCAGGAATAAGTTTGTGTAATGGTTATATTAATCGGATTGCTTGTATCATTGAAGTCGGTTGGATGCCATGTTATTGTACCGCCGTTGAAATGAGAGCCGGATATAAAGGTAAAATGAACAAAAGCTGCCGTTATGATGGCAATCATTCCACAGATTCAACTTTGTAAACACGTACTGACTATGTAAGTACACATACAGCCATCTAGAACTTCGAAGCTGATAAAGATCGTATTGAACTTGAGAAATACAAACATTTTTATTCATTGAGCCCGAAGAAAGACATCTGTCACTTCAAACCAGAATACTGACAGCTAATGTGAAACAACCTTGAGCACTTATATAGCATTAAAGTTAATCCTTTCCTTTTTCATACTTTTTCTGATTCAATCCTTGAACTATAGTTCGACAATATAAAAGTCGTAAAAATCTTTTCATACTGATCTGAGAAGTATATCGATTTGCAGACAAAACTTTATTTCTCAAATTCAGCGCGAGCTTATCGGTTCTAGAGAAGAGAGTTTTAAGAAACGTTATTCAAAACCCCAAAAAAACTTGTCATCATTGACTTCATACTATACTCGTTTGAATTAAATTGAATTGAAATTTTATTTTACACATAGGTAGGATATCACAAAAAAGCACCAAAAGGACTTGTGGCATCCGCAGACACCTCATGATAACCTAAACTAAAAAGTTTCTAAGAAGAATCGCTGCTATAACACATACATTGTGAGAGAAAACATAAGTGTAATACATTTTAAGAGACAGAGTAGATCTAAATATAAAAATTATTGAAAGCCTAGATGACCTCTTAACATACGTTTAAATACAGATAAAGAAGACTGACATGCTAAAACCGAAGGAAGTTCATTCCATTCTTTTAAGCCACGTGGAACGAAAGAGCCGGGTGCGGATTTTAGCTTTAGATGAGAAATGAAACGCTATTATTATGACCTAATCGAGAACTTTGACGCGTAGTTAGCGGTGAGATCAAATCAAACGATGGGAGAGGACTTCTATTATAGAATATTTTATGAAAGTATAGAAGATGATGGTAGAGACGTCTGTTAGGAAGTGGTTGAATTTTAAATTTTTTGAGCAAATAAGAAGAGGAACTATTAAAGTCTTGCGAGATAATTCTACTAGCAAGACGATGAATTTTGTTCAGAATATTAAAGTGAGCGGTAAAGGTTGAATTATAGATAACACAAGCATATTCGAGCACCGGTCTTACACAGTTTTATACAGATGGCGATAGTTTGAGTTTTAACACAAATAAATCCAATAAATTTAGAAAATAGACTGTCATAGAGGACTTTGAGTACTCATTATAAAACAGAAGTATTTACTCAAATGAAACACAGATTGATCATGTTTTCACATGCAACAGAAACAAAAACATAATTGCAAATACCGTTAAATAGTTTCATATTTTCAATTTATTCAATATATCTATTTACACATAATTAAAAGTCAATTCAATGTAAATAACACTATCGAAATTCGTTTTTATCAGATTTTAATTATATATAAATTCAAGTTTTATTTGTCATTCATATGAAAAGAAAGATCAAGACAATGTTCGTAAACAATCATAATGAAACATAAAAACAATCAGTGTAAATCATTGTTGTGAAGGCCTTCGATTAGATCGTATTGTCATCTTGCTAAATCATTCATCACTCACTCTATAACTCTAAGCATTTTCTAACTCTGTAAAACAGCTAAAAACAAAAATGATTATCTCAATACTACTGGTAAGTAGACAGGTTAACCGAGCCACTGTTGAAAAAACACTTGAAAGTTTTCTGCTATCAAATATTTTCTTCATCAAAAACTCAAAAAAGATGCGTTTTTCATGAGAAAAACATGAACCCTTTTAGTTGGAAAATTTTCCAGTTTTAAGCATTCTGATAGAAATGTGCACGTTTCTTTTAGAATAGACCCTATAGTCCCACAAAGCCTAATGTATTTTGTTTAAAAGTTTCGAGATGAACATTGTTTGACTCAGTTTCTAACGCTGATTCGAAATACGATCATTATGAGAGAGCTGAAAAACTCGACTTTTTTTTCGCCAGACCGATTGAGCTGAAATTTTGGGTAATGAATAACGACTATCAGTTAAACATTTTCTGAAAGTTTCATCAATGACGTATCAGCGGTTGGAAAGATAATTATTTTCTTCCCTTCTTTTGATCTAAAGAAAGCGAGTTTTCGAGACAAGCAATCTATAGAAACGAACAAATTCTCTATCTTAATCTATATATTCATTTATTATATGTTCAAAAGAAGCAGTGCTCGTCCGATATTCTACCAACTTCTCAGATTAAAATTAAATTAACTAGAGAGGGTCCATCTCCACTTCTTACAGTAGTTAGAAGTACAGAAGTTGTATTATATACTGATCTATCTTCTGAAAAAAGACCCTTTTTAGTTTTTGAGATATGTGGCTCTCAATATCGATGATTAGCAGCTAGAAAAACGTTTTTTGACTGCCATGATTTTCCGGCTTTCTCTTCGAGTCATGATAGTCAGAGGTAATGTGTGTTCAAACGGGTAAAAACCACGATGAAGTCAAAATCATTTTTAGGGTCAATCGGAAGTACCCAAATTGTACTGTATGCTGTGGTATATTTTAGAAAAAGATACATTTTGCTTTCTTTGGAAGTGGACGGTCAATATCACAGCTAAACATAAGGAAAATATATGCTTTTTATTGCCATCGTTGATAGATGTATGAGGATTTATATATGTAAGATTGTCGAATGCAAATCGCGTACAAATTTTATTTCGGCAAAGTACAACTATACAAGATTGTTGATAAGCTCTTAATCAGTTTCGTATAACCCTGTCAACCTCTATCAACTAGATCAAAGACTAACTGAGCGTTTCAGAACATATTCCGAGCGGTCGTTACTCCATCCTTAGGTCGGTATAGGTACGATATGACATAATTTAACACTGTTTTATACGTAACTGTCTTGTTTTCTAATTGCATAAACATATAACTACTTCTTTATGTATGTAAAACTTTATTCCTCTTTGTAGAAAAGATCAAACTTTCTACTTTAATCTATACATTAATTTATTTTATGTCCATATAAAATTCATTCTTTTCTTACTTTCTTTTCTTTTATATCTATCTATATAGATCTAAAATAAAATTGACTATCCCTCTCTGATTTTTATGCTGGTTTCAAGTACCCAAGTTGTACTCTGTGCCGAGCTATACTTTACAAAAAGATACTTTCTCAGATAAATTTTTATGTACCAAATAAGCAAAAAGAAGCAAATTTTATTCCGGTAGATTACAAGCATACAAGGTTGTAGATAAGCTCTTAATCATTTTCGTACAAGTCTGTCAAAGTGTATCAATTACATAGAAGACTAACTATTTCCTATTTGCTTTAAAACATCTTGAACCATATTCCAACAAGGAAAATTTGGACGTATGTTCATACTGACTAAACTGAATATTCGATGAAAATAGTATTTCTTCTCTTATATTGAGTTTAACAGAAGAATCATCGTATATCCATGTTGTGCACTCCATTTGTTGGTTGATTTTCTCATTTTTCCTTAGTTCGCACATAACATTTATCTGAGAAAGTATCTTTTCTAAAATATAGCCCGGCACAGAGTACAACCTGGGTACTTGAAACTGGTATAAAAAGCAGAGACGGATAATTCTGGTCAATATTTACACTACAGTGAGGCTCACTGGAAACTTATTTCGTATTCCTCCAACTTCGCGAACAAAATCTACACTGATTGGGGAAGATTCATTTCCATCTTTTGTACTAGTTTTAAGTTAGTCCCTTGCTAGACTTCCAGAGACTCCTTTTGTCTGTCTCGAAAATTTGCTTTTTTAGACAATAAACAACGATATTCACCGCCATATACCATTAAAACTAAAAGGGATCGTTTTCTAAAAAACAGATCAGACGAATAGGATCGTCCACAACTCGTGTACTTTAACCCTTTCGGGACCGGTGACGCTTTAAAGCATCATTGAAATTTCACGTGATCTGACGCGTCAGAATTCGAATTTTTTTCGCGTCTCTTTGAAGTATACATTGCGTCTGCTTTTTTTACACTTTTGTGCTTCATCAGTTTCATTCTAGGTATGGCTAGAGGATTAGATGAATCTAGAAAAAATAAATCATTTTTGAAAAGTTGAAAAATTTGTAATTTTTGCTCAAAATAAGTTGGTCCTGAAAGGGTTAAGCGCCTAATGGGGTTTTGTAGAGGAAAGAAAGCTGCATCCAACCATAAGATTAACCATTGCGGAAAGTTTAAGTGCATCATATATTTCAAAACCACAATACAGTGACTTTCTCCTCTGTGAACAAGTATCGGGCCTTTCGAAACTCTCCCATTTCTACTAGGACAATTTCAATAAAATGCTATACCAATTGTGGAAACCTATGCAGAAAAATGTACTCTTTCGCGATAACTATGTCAAAAAAATTTCGGAGCGGTGGCAGATTTGCGGTTCTATCCGGCGGTGTTTTCTTCTTTTCCGAAAAAATAATCCGGTTCCGAAAGAGTTAAACTAATATATAACAATGGAAATGGGTCAACTCTTATTAGTGTAGATTTAGTTCGCGAAGTTGGTACGAAATAAGTTTACAGTGATTACTCTCCTTCATGAACATATAAAAGATGAATATTTGATGAAAACATACATTTTGTTACTTTTTGATTTTATTCTTTAAAAAAATCAACATCTGCTCCAAACATCTGCTCTTATAAAGATATCTGTTAAAAAAACGAACACATTGAAAGATATATGTCAATAGCAACCGAAATTATACAAAATAAAATAAATTATAATTTAAATTTTGACATGCTCCGTAATCACTATAAAGGTTACTAAATAAATATACAGTCGAATAAGTACAAAATTTAATAAAAGTATTACTAGAAGAATATTAAAATAGTCAAAGATGCCATAAATAAAGAATGTTGTCGATTGCGTGCTATTAAATTAAATTATATTATAATTAAATTAATTAAATGTTATTATTAAATTGAAATTCTTATGTTTTAGTCTAATTGTTAGATCTTTAAGTTCGTTTTTGTGTACTTTAAGTCGGTTTGGAATAGAGGAACAGTGCAAATAGCGGAATAGTCGGGGAACAGAAGAACATCGGAATGGCGACCGACCGGAATATATGTTGAAACGTTCGCTAACATAGATGAGAGAAACGTAACAAATGAGTCTCTATAACTTCTGAACATTACAAGATGACTGAACTATTTCGGTTAAAATATAGAATTAGTGCTTTTCTTAGCTTACCCCATTGTCTATTGCAGCGCGCATATAGAAAATGAAAAGTGATAAGATCAGACGAGAAGACTACTGAAAGCGGTACATTTGATCTCTATAGTTCAACTATATTTTTTTCTTTTCTTTGCTTTATGCTCTAGAATTGTCATTTGACCGGATTTCTGTTCTGTAACCAAGCAACAGACGAGAACTATAGTTGCTCGGAAAACCTAGAAAACTCGGGAAACATGTTCTAAAACAGCTTTAAATCATGCAGAATTCGGACAGACGTTGTCGTTGCTTTGAAACAATCGCTTTTGTTCAACAGCGCTATATTCAACGAGAATAAACGCTACTCACTTAGCGCCTTCTATAAAAATAATTATCTTCCCAACCGTTGAGATGTCATTGATGAAACTTTCAGAAAATATTTAACTAATAGTCGTTACTCATTACCCAGAATTTCAGCTCAATCGGTCTGGCGAAAAAAAAGTCGAGTTTTTCAGCTCTCTCATAATGATATTGCTTTTGCGAAAAACTTGAAAAGACAAGTGGCGATAAGGTCATTTTTTCACCCAAAACATTTAGGGAAAAAAACTATATGGTTAGAATCAGCATTAAATTCTGAACAAATCGGTATATTTCTTTTTGAAAAAAAATAACTTTTTATTTTTAGTTTTTTGCCGTGGTCCAGGGAAAAAAAATTTTTTGTTTTTTGTTTTTCACTCTAATTTCATCTAAATATAGGTTATCGACCACGCTGATCACGAATATAAGGTTTGTTTTGCATAAAAATGTGATTTGAATGAAAAAACTGCCTCCTCTGACAAAGGTAATTTTTTTATCTTTGTTCAAAAATCACTGCCTTCCAATCCTAAAAGTCAGTTTATAGTAGCAATAATACTTTATATATATCTAGAAACGATTGTTCCATCAATTCCAAACAGATTGAGGACATAATAATAAAAAAAAATCGATGCTTAATTAGTTAGTAATAAAGACGCGAGAGCATAGTCGAAAGTTCGGTAAAAACTAGTGATGGGCCGTCGTGTAGTCGTTAAACATGAGTATTGATTGATAGATGACGAAAGGAAGGAAAGGAATAAACATTACGGTATCGCTATAGTCGTTTATTACTTGCACGGCATTTCGCTATATTCGAATGTAATGTGGCCTGTTCTGTGTCTTACGTCTAAATTTAGAGTTCACATACTTGATAACTAAGGGAACGGAAAGAAAACGAAATGTTACGTAAGAAACGGGAAAAACAAAATGGCAGCTTAACGTCGTGGAATGGAATTCTTAACGTAAGAAAAAAATTAACGTTAAGTATTATAGGACAAATGATTACGCTACAGAAATGAAACGATATGAAATGAACACGAAGAAAATACATCGTCTTGTCCATAGTAGTGTACTATCATCCCTAGCTGAGAATGACTCACTTACGTTATCTGGTTAAGGATGATTCACTTACGTTAAGAATTTCGCGTAATATATGTAACTCCTTCGTTTCGTACGGTAAGAAAGCATTTTCCTTAACGTCGCACGTTATGTTTTCTCTTTCCTTTAATTTTATCGTCATCCATGGCCTATACTATACATGTATAGGTCACGAGAGACGAAAGAATAGATACTAGAAAATTAACGCTTCTTGCGTCTTACGCCCCATCACCAGTAAAAATGACTCAATCAGATTAAATCAATGAATAAAGTATATTGAAATTATCATCATCACTATTCTCTGAATCAGTATCCGACAATTCTGAATATACCGATTTGTTCAGAATTTAATGCTGATTCTAACCATGTAGTTTTTTCCCTAAATGTTGTGGGCGAAAAAATGACCTTACCGCCACTTGTCCTTTCATGATGAAAATTGCAAAGTACGAGTGCGTTTCCTTGATTTTTATTACTGGTTTCGAAAACATTCACTTTCTCAACAACGAAACAATATCTAAAAAAAGGATATGTATCATTTTTAAGCCAGTATCCATCTCCATATAAAGTTTAAATCATATCTTTAAAAAAATTCAAAGTTACTTTGTCATAAAAATAGTGATTCTGTGTCTCTCCATATAGAGTGTACATTAATTTATTTTAAAAAAAAGAGGTAATCTGTCATATCAGGTCTACTTTTTTGTTTTCAGACTTCTTATGGAGCATAAATTACTTAACACTATCAATTCATCAAGGGATGAAGTCAGAAACGGACTGGGTTATAATATAAAAAAAAGAGATCTTTAAATTTTTTTAAAACTAATTTGCACTCCGTGTGAAGTTGAAAACTAACTTAGTCTTTTTAAAGACTAGCAGTCATAAAACGGACGTCTCTCAACAAGGTTATTACTTATCTTTGTGACAGTCACTCAGTTTATTTCTTCACGACGAGTTATCTCTTTTTCATCAAACTATATCAATGGCTGCAAAGCCCATCTGTTTGATCAACGATGATGAGTGCAATGGAGACAAGAATAATACCATCATATGCTTAGTCGATCTAAGCAGGAAGATCAACACGTCACAATTCCCTAAGGCATGTACAGAGGCTCAAGCTATCCTCTGTCGAGCGGATATTGATGACGAATCGAAAGTCGATTTAAGTAAAACAGTTATTTGCCGTCGTCATTTCAATCATTTATACGCTCAGTTTGATCCGAGGAAGTGCAAAAAAGTGTTATACGTGTGCTTCGATGTCTGGAATATCTCATCCGAGTACGAAGCGGTTGCAACAAATCAGCCGTAAATATGCGCTACGTATTCATGCCAACTTCAGCCTCAAACATTCGTATGACGCATTTATCTGTGGCGTGTGTCGCGACAATTACGATGATTTCAAACAACTTTATTGGTCGAAGCGAGTATCGGATTTTATCGAACGGCGTAAGAATCAACAACGCACTACTACTGATGCACAAACAATCGATCAAGATAATGACGATACAAAAGAGTCATCAAGCCAAGAGGACTCAAATGGAGATGTCAACGTCGATAGTAATGAAGATTTCGTGCCTGGCGACGATAAAGATTCGACGAAAATGCTTCGTGAAGCTATCGATCACCTACTACACCTGTGTGGCAACAAGGATCGAACGTGGGTGACCCACAAGTATCGAGAGTTGACAGGACGAACTCATCTAAACTACCGAGCGCGTGCTCGTTCAATCCTCGAAAGTGTGATGGGTGTCCTAGTCCAAAATGATGTTGGTCAGTTGGAACATGATTTATTCGCTCATCACGGTGATAAGAACGTAGTCAAACTCGATGGTCACTTCCTTTCGGTCATGAAAGGTGTGTCGGAGGCCTATAAGAATGCCGAATCGTGGACGACGCTCGCGAAATTCTATCGATCGTTGCACCGCAAATCGGCTTCAAATTAATACAATCCTTTTTACCCGGCCGTACTCCTGGTCGCTTCACAGCCGCTTGGAAACACGAAGCCGAGCTCTGTCCATTAGGACAAAGCAGTCTATACTCGTTACTGGACGTATGTAAAGCGTCGACACGCAAATCTCTGCAAGGCATTAAGTATTTCGCCGCTGATGCAGGTGAAGCATTCGACTCAATTGAAAAATTGATCGAGAACCTTCAGCTTGACACGATGGAACATCGCCGTTTTATCCAGAATCTGAAGCGAGGCCGGTAGTACTTAAAATCTGACTACAAAGTGCACATCAACAAATCGTTTACTATAGGCGATCATTGTGCTACATTTGCGCTGTCAGACAAGTCTGACAAAGACTTTCGACAGGTGTGCTTCCATGAGCACAACAACATATGTGACGAGTGTCTCAATCTTCGGGTCACCTTTGAAGAAATTGAACACGCTATCGAAAGTTATACAAACGACAAGCAAGTATCCACTAGGCTACTCGTCAAGTTCAAGTTATACCAAAAGGCGATCAACGCCTGGAAATGTCACTTACTTCGTGCGATAAACCAAGATCTCTGTCGACAAGAAATACTTGAGACATTAACGAACAACTCTGTGTACATTTACATGGACTGGGCCATGAAGTGGTTACCAGAAAAATATCGAGAAGGTCAGTCAGATTTCTTTGGAAAACGCGGTCTCAGTTGGCGTAAGTGTGAACAAACAATTCCGAACCTTGACGAGATTATCGATGAGGATGCGTCGACCGAAGATGAACATGCATATAGTTACCTTGCTATCGTTCATGTATTCGGGCACTGCGTGCAGGACAGCGAAGCTGTCGTAGCCATATTACGTGATGTTCTTACTCGCACTAAACGCGTTGACAGTAGCATAAAAATGCTTATGTCCGTTCCGACAACGCCGCCTGCTATCACTCGGCACAAACGATTCTCTCGCTACCTCAAATCTCTGAAGAAACCAAAATCGATATCTGTCGCATCGACTTTTGTGATCCTCAAGGAGGTAAAGGTCCTTGTGATCGATACGCGGCCGTGATCAAATCGCATGTGCGTCGCTTCCTCGACGAAAAGCACAATGTGACCAACGCCGTTGAATTTGTTGAAGCAATTTACACCAATGAAGGCGTCCAAGGAGTTTACGCGTACGAGACTCGATTGGAGAAAGTGACCAGCGGTCCTCCCTTCCAGCTTGTCAAAATTAGTCTCTTTAACAATTTCTCATTCGTACCAGACGGCATTCGTGTGCATCGCTCATGGAAAGTCGGAGATGGTAAACTTATTCTATTTTCGACAATAAAGCGACCGGAAAATATTAGCACTATTATATGCAGTGATAAACCAAATGACAAAACCGTTCTGTTCGTAACACCACGATCCAAAAGCAAACAACGCGATTTGTCAAAACAATCTACTAACATCCGCACAGACACCTACGTCAGTCGTCTCTTCGACTGTTATGAGGAAGGATGTGTAAAGAAGTTTTTGAATCCAGGAAATCTCGTGAAGCATCTCGCTACCGGGAAACATCAGCGTCTTCCAGAACGTACTTCATTACGGGACAGCGGGGTGCAAGTTTACGCTTCAAAACCCGAGAGAATTGGTGAAAGAGAACTCGTCTCCGTTGCCCTTCAAAATACCACCGGTACTGCCAACCGAGACTCAATTAGACCCAACTTGACCGATGGTTGGGCACTACCAAAAATCCGAACAGTCACATGGCTTACTTCGAAACAAATTGAATACTTGACAAATAAATTCGATGATGGTATAAAGAATAACATACGATGGAAACCTGAAGTAGTGGTTGCCGAAATGGAGTGTCTCAAAGACAAGGGCGTCTTTGTCTTTGCCAATGATGAACTGTTGAAAGTCAGTCAAATTCGCAGTTATTTCTCCCGGCTCAAATCCAATCGGCAAAAGAAGCTGAAGGTCAAAGACTGCGAGGGGAAAGACGTCGAAGCATTCAAAGAAGAGCAAGGCATTGACGAAGTAGTTCAACGACGACAACTTCAGCATAAGGTCCACAATATCGATCAACTCGAACGCGCAATATCCCCGAAACGACCAACTTCATTGCGGCAAATACCAGCAAAGAGACACTCATCACATACCTAGAAAATCTTCTGATTTTCATCAATAAAAAGCGAATTAGAACCAACTCCGAAACCTCAAATCATGGGGCTCTGAACCTTTCCTACCTTAGTCTCATCTTTATCTATGAATGACAAGCAGGAAAAATGATTGATTGAATTTTTCATTTTTGGCCTTTCGTAGTCACCCACAGTATTTTATATTTTTCAGCACTTTCCAGATCTTTTAAAAAAACAGACTGTAGTGCAACTTGTAGAGAATTTTTTTCTCTACAAGGCAGACTTATAAAATTTGTGCCGGAAATATATCAACAATGTAATTCTTTCAAAAAAGCCCAAAAATGAGTTTTTCTGTTTTGGACTTTTCGGAGTTTTTGAACTTTTTGGATTCCTATATGTAATGTGCGAGACGTTAAAAGTACCTCATCTTCTTCAGTTTTCTTTTCTCTTTCAAATGAGACGTTGCTCAAAAAACTTGATCGCAAAATGACAGAGAAAGAAGCGAAATGCCACTTGCTCGATGTTTTTAGAAAACTAAGAAAAATTGAAAATAGTCCTTTTTTGGAAATCAGATGTCTCGGTGAAAAATGTTTTGTTTGGCCTAAAAATCTGGCTATAGAGGTTTCTCAACATGAGCTATCGAATGGGCGTAGTTAGATTGAAATCTAAAATTTTTCATGTGACACCCCTCTTATGATATGCTCGATTCTCTCACGGATCCTCTCTTAATAACGGAATGACTTAAGATTTTTTCAGTACTAGTTTCTGTCCTACTGGAAGTCGGAAACGGCTTTGTAGATACTTTAATAGAAATTTTACTATTTAAAAAATGATTTATATTCCATATTAAACAGTTTAGGGACATTGCACTTGTAAAAATTAAGTTCGTTTTCTTAAATGTAGAAATTAATTTAACGTACTTATAAAGCAGTGGTAGATCTAGAAAAATTTCGTCGAGTTGTGCGTTTTGAAAATTTTGGACTTGCACGAATCTCTGATATAGGAAAAGCACAGTGGATAAATATACAGGGCGATTTCGTAGAACAGAAAACTGTATGCATTTTGGACCAACAACAAACTTGAATCAGGGTCGAAACACTGAAACAAAAGTGATTCGTCTTATCTGCGCCACCAGTTATTAACTTTTTTAAAACAGCTAAGTGTTTCTTTTTCTTTCAGTGCTTTCAAATGATAAGCAATAAATTTTTTATATGGGTAAATATAGGAAGTCAGATGAAATAATTCTAACAGGTAACTTCTTTGTATACTTCATGAGTCAGTCGAATGCAATTCATAAATTCTTCTGTCCTTTTTTTCGTTTCTATTCTTACAGACACTGTTTTTTTAAATTCATTTCACTAACTAGAAGTAAAACAAATGCATGTTGCAAAATTAAAAACAAAAGATGGTAGAAACAACCGTTAAACAATTTGCACATGCTTGTTGTTATAATAATGTCTATTTGGTAGAATTATTTCTTGAGCAATTAACTGTTAAAGAAATTAATCATAAATTGGAACCAGACCATATTATACATGTTGGATAAGAATTTAGTATGAGCCATAGCGACTCATATTTTTTGCATAACCAGAGCATCAGGACAATAAATTAGTTGCTATCAATCATATATTTTTTCATTTGTTCATTCTTCTTTAAACATAACGGATGTGACAGGAAGAACAGGACTTTTTTGCACCCGCTGTATCTCGGTCAGTTTGCATCTAATCGGACCAAACTTTTCTTTAAAGATTCGTCATTTAATTCTCTACAAAACTAGGTATAAATAAATTTTTCAGCATTAAAAAATGACGGACTATACGAACGAAGCAAAAGCCTCCGAAAGTTACAAGTTACCAAACTATAAATAATTTCTTACATGTTTCTCGGATATACTTTAGCTATAAAAAAAAAATCTGCGTCAACCGTTCGAAAGAGCTTCCAATTCTCTTGTAGAAACATTTTTTCAAAAAACTTTTGAACTTCTCCTGAATGCGATTTACCCGCATGCGAAAGTTGCCCGCGTTTAAGAGTTACCTATCGGCTTTGGTGGTAACTGAAGAAAAGGAGTGGAGCCATAGTTCAGATAAACCGCATGAGAAGAAAAGAAATGAAAGACTATAAAGACGAAAATTAGACAAATTAGTGTGTATTAAAAATTTCACTGAACAACATGATAAGAAGTGATTGTGTTATGTGTATGTCTGAGTCTGATGGTCAGATGCTCGACTAACAGACTTGGCGGATAATTATTGGACATGTTTCGCTCTTCCTTTTGCGGCACAATTACATTTTGAGAAGTGATCGAGTCTGATGGTCAGGTGCCCGACTAACAGAGTTGGATGATTATGAATCGACATATTTCACTCTTCCTTTTATGACACAATCTCTTGATGAGAAGTGATTGTGTTATGTGTGTGTCTGAGTCTGATGGCCAGGTGCTCCACTAACAGACTTGGAGAATTATGATTTGACATGCTTCACTCTTCCTTTTTTGCCACAACCCCATGGTGAGCAGTGACTAACCCTTATGGTCAGATGCTCGAGTGACAGACTTGGATGAGTATTGTTGGACATATTTCATACTTCCTTTTATGGCACAATGGCATGTAGACGGAGTCTGATGGTCAGATGTTCGACTAACAGAATTGGATGAGTATTGTTAGACGTGCTTTACTTTTACTTGCACGGCACAATCACATGATGAATAGGGAGGAGGTTATTTGGATTATGTAGAACAGTCATTTCAATATAGGTCGTTGAAGGTGATTACAACTATAAGACGGGCAACTTTCGCATGCGCTCAAGTGTCGGACGGACATCTTTCCCTTGCGGGCATTTCTCTCAGGAGCATCTTTCACACGGGCGAATTACTTTACATTCGATAACACTTGCAGTAAGTAATCGACTCAGACTTTAACATAGACTATTTTTCCGAAAAGGATACTGCCTAGTTTGTGTTGAGTGGTGCACAGTATGATTGTTTAACAAAAACAAAGCACTTTTTTATATCGAATAGAATATTCACTTATGGAAATTAAATATTAATAATCAAGTTTTGAAATAAGTTTGTTCACCTAAGAGCCATTGCACATAAGCCACGACAAGCCAAGCTCAATGGCCATTTCAGATTTTTTTTCTAAGTAGTCTCATCTTGTAGAGCATGTTCGAAAACCTATAAATTCAAATTTGTAGGCTTGCCGAACTTTTCGTACTGTAGATACGAAAGTTTTTCGCCTGGAGTAAAGTTCGAGAAGTTATACGCGTGAAAATCGTACATTTCGTTTTTCTCGTGAACGAGAAGAGGTGAAACTCTGATTTTTTCAGGGTAGGCAGAACTTTACTTCAGGCGAAAAACTTTCGTATCTACAGTACGAAAAGTTCGGCAAGCCTACAAATTTGAATTTATAGGTTTTCGAACGTGCTCTACAAGATGAGGCTACTTAGAAAAAAATCTGAAATGGTCATTGAGCGCGCTTCTGTGAGAAACAGTCGTCTTTCTCGTGCAATGACTCCTAAGGTGGTTTTCTCTTCGGGCCATGGTAGACAAATCTTTCAATTCAGTTGCTCGCTAGCAAAGCTAAATGGAAAAGCTAAGCTCATTTGAGCACAGTTCATGTATCGTCATATATGAAACGTGTTATTTAAAGGAGGCGACCCGCTTTTCATTGATTTTGGCCCACTGCTTTTCCGACTTAGTTTTGATCACATTTTGTAGAGAAAACGATTTTACACATTTTGAAATGCGTATGTACCATTATAACCTTATCGAGACTTTTCAAATTAACTTTTCTGAGGAGTTATATGAAGCATATCGATGCTTAACAAAAACGATTTTGTTCAAAATCTAATACAAAGTTATGTTAAAGCTTAATATAGAAAAATAGCTCTTTAAAAATTCTACAATATTCTGATTAAACAAACCCTACATATCATTGGCTCAATCCTTTATAGGTCAAATATGAGTCCAGGTACATCTTAAAGTCAACAAGAAAGCTTTTTCGAACAACCTTCAATTAACATAATAGAGATGTATTAAAATCAATACTCTGTTGATCTTAGCTTTCTATCAAAAAAAGAAAGGACACCTTAATATAATTAGAGTTATTTGGGCCGATAACTGAAATAAATTAAACACCGCGAAAATATTGAAAATATCTCACCAAGAGCAAGTCAGAGTAATAGCACGCTGGAAGTTTTATGATCGAAAACTGACAATTGGATACACAATACATTACAGCATTTGCTTCAAACGAGATTCACTCTGCTGTTTATCTTTTCATCGTTTTGTTAGCCATCAAACTAATAATAGTAATAGCTACTCTTGACATTTTTTATGCACTTGGGACTGTAACTAATTGTGGTCTTTAAGTCATAAAGATCAGTTCAATCAAATTCTTTATCCGCCGTTTATGTTGAATGCAAAAAAGCCGATATCAACAACTTTCACAAGAGCTTTCATCATACGAAAGCCTCCATTAGTTTTTATTTACTTGTAATTTGCACAGAGTCTGCTGAGGTATATTTCCTCGTATTATATAAAATCGAGTCAATTGTTTTTCCTTTTTTCCATTTTTGTTGGGGATAATCCGTGTTCTATATTTTTATCTGTCACACACGATCATTCAGATACTTTGTTGGAGAATTATCCGCCCGTCAGGCTAAGTAACAAGATAATTATTCTCTGCTTACGTCAATCTGACTCACGATAGTCTCAAAGAGGAAAAACAAATGGAAAATACCCAGTGCTACAATTTTTGTAAATCGTACTATTCAGTAAACATCCAATTAGAAATGTACAACAATAAAAATGTACAATACACAAGAAACGGAATAACCCAATGGGAATATCTCACAAACAAAGTAATCTGAAAGATGACGTGTATCAGATAAGAATAGAGAAGTGGGATTAGGCCCATGAAAACTGAGAAGGGAAAAGACCAGTTGAGCTAATCGTATATAATACAAGGAAAGATATCTTAGCACACTCTATACAAAATACTATTAAACAAAAAAGGATGGAAGCTTTTCGTATAATTTTATTTTATTTGCTTTCGTCAAATCTTATAAATTCTCAAGATTTAACAAATAAGTGGTATATGAAACGAATGTCATCAGCAGTTGTACCACCATATAAACGGGCCTACACCATAATACAGAAACAAATTTTGAATCCTTTGATGAATGGTAGTAGATCTGAATTTGAAACCGATGAAGCAGCCATTAGTCTACTGGCGAAAAATAGCCAATGTGCAGCGAAAAATGTACACTATTATCTTGATAAAGCACTCTCAACTAGTCAACGTATAAATAAAGATATTGAGGATTGGCATGCCAAAGAAGTATCAGCTGTCAGTGAAAAACAAAATCAAATAAACCAAGTTGAAACAAATATCCAACGTATAAATGATGATATTCGGTTGGTTGAAATATTATTAGCACCATTTCAGGAAGATGTTCGACAGAAGGAGCATTACCTTAATTTAACAACAAATAAAGTGAGAAAAGCTCAGAGCAAAGTTGCTGCAGCAAGACATTGCAATCTAAAACGTTCTGTTGGTACTTGGTTGAAAGAGAATATTGTTGAACCAATTCAAAATGCTGCTGACAATGGTGCTATTAAACTATTGTGTAATGTATTTAATTCTAAAATAGTTGATATTTTTAGAAATAGACAATCCGAAGCCCGTAAAAAGTTAGCACTTGTACACCAGCGAGCTAGTCCCTATAATCAACGATTAACGAACCTTCGAGTTATACAATCATTATATAATGAGCTGTTATCTATTAAAAAGCAACGCTTAAATTCATTGAAATTAAATTTAATTATCTTGCCAGATAAACAAATCCATGTAACGAAAATAATTAATCAATTAAAATTGACTGTGAATCATCTTGAAAATATTAATTCTACATCGAATGACTTCGTTACTATATTGAAAAAGTTTGTCGAATTTGATGTTTTTATTGATCCATTAAACAGAATCTACGATGAAATGTTAAAATGTAATGCAATGTCACAATTTCCAGATGGGAGAATATCTTCTGAAACAATTACCAAGGCAAGAATACGCATTGACAAACTGACGGTTATTCCTTCAACTATACCAGTAGTAAAAACAATGGGAGAAGAAAAGACTGTTTGTACGAATGAAACATTGGCAGAGCAAGAGGAAGTTGATTATGGATGGAATGCAATGATACGATCTTTCCACAACAACACATTGGTTCAAAATCGCCTTCGTAATATGTTCCAACTCCAGAAATTGATTACGACGAATACAGAAAGAATGATTCTTGGTCAATTATTCCTCGAAACAGAGGAAGAAAAGAAAATTCAATTCGAAATTTCCCGGTTATCTTAGTTATTATAATATTTTTCGCAAACTTACATCAGCATCATGATTAGCCTTTTCCCTACTATTTAAAAATTTTTTTCATTAAAAATTTTCAAAGAATCAAAGCATAATTACATACACATCAATCATATATTATTATACTATAAAGACTGTTTACTTTAAGGGATTGTAGGCACAGCGACAGAAATTACGTAAAAGCATGATAGGTGCAAAATGAAAGGGTTTGATGCAACTGCAGAGAAAATGAACAAAAAACAGATAGAGAAAATGAGAAATGTTGAGCTTCTTTAAGTTAGCTATCTGTTAGTATTCAAAAAATGCATTTTTTAACCATAATAGTGTTTTCGAAATATTCTATGACTCCGTGTGAACAAGTTCAGTTTTGCTCACTGCTCATAGGCAAGTATTAATATCTAGTAACATATCTTTAGATACAGAATCATCCCTTAAAAAAGTCGTGCGAGTGGGAAGTGGAAGAAAAGATACGAAAAACTGGTCAAACCGGGGCAGACGAAGACTAACCGAGTCGAAACTTTTCTGGGAGTGGACTGGGCCAAAAGATCTTTAAGAGTCGATAGGTTTGGTCGGGTATGGGTCAAAATTGTTGTTTTTAAATAATGAATCTAAAGTGCATTGTGCTTACTCCTTCTCTAGGAAAAAAGTTAAAGTAAAAGTTTCTTGTTCTTAACTTCGGAACATAGAATAGTGAGTTGAATCTACCGGTTGAGAATTGATCTGTAGTTGCCGGATGATCCTCAAGTAGTTCTAGTAGCTCGAGAGTTTCTGAGTATAAACTATAAATAACGTTCGAGTGTGTGAAAATAGGTCAAAAACGTTAGATAACGAACAAAAACAAAAATTAAACGTTTGATCAAGTGAAAATGTGTAACATTAATGCAGTATATAATGCTTTATAGTGTATTGCTGCTACACATTTTTGCTTTATAAAATGTTCTTTTGTAATGAGTTTTTGTTCGTTATATAACGTTTTTGACCTATTTTCACACATCCGAACATTATTTGTCGTAAAAATTTTTAACAGTGTGCAGAGCAGAGAGAGAAACAGGGGACAAATACACTTATTACACCCCCCTCATATATCGACTATTTCAGTTTAAATAGCCTCTGCGGAGTTCACTGAGTGCATTCTTAACAGTCTCTGATCGATAGATCAAGGCATATATGAATCAC